CATGTGTTTTTTTGGTTAATTTTGGTAGTTGTATTTTCAAAACAGTCATTTTTGTTCCTATACTTTCAATTTTTATTTATTTTAGTAAATATATTTTCAAAATATTTGTTTTGATCTCCATTTTGATCTCTATTGGTAAAATTTTAACATAAATTTAAGAAATTCTTTGATGCAAATTTATGACTACATTTCAATTTTTTTTTAGTGCAAGGAAATGAGATAAAAACGAAAATGAAGGGACCAAAGTGATTGCTTTTTAAAAGTACAGAGAGAACAACCGTTTTGAAAGTAAGATAACTAAAATTATGAGTATAGATGTCAAAATGAATGTTTAAAAAATATAGGGAGCAAATTTATTCAAAATAAAAATATATGGATAAAAATAATATTTAAAYCTCAAATTTATATCTACCATTATTTAGCGCCAAAACCAATATACATCTGTGAAAAGTTACCATTTACATAATTATGATGTTAAATTGTGTCACTGGTCGTAGATTTTGTAATTTTAATCGGTAAGCGAGGTTTTTATTGCAAAAATTAATAATAATTTGAGCTTCAGAAATCAGTACGTCATTTTGATCAATCAAGTGAGAGTATTGTTAAAATAAAACGATTTAAAAAGGGAGGATATATATTTTAATTGAGTGGATAAAAGTAAGGTGACATGCAGTGTATTAAACATTCCTCCAGATGTCTATATTTTTATCAATATTTTCATCAATATTTTCATATATTCATGAATTCGATACCGATACGAAGGGTAAATCAACATTTTAAAATAGTATTTCAAAAAAAAAAATCATTAAAATATGAAAAATATCAATAAAATATCATTAATTATTAATAATTTTTAACTCATTTAAAAATAATAAAATACTTATTTATTTATTTAAATATTCTTTTACAAATTATTTATTTTTATAATATTTTTAAAAATATTCATTTTATCGCTTGACCATCGACATTAATTTATCAACCATTTCATCTAACATATTCATAAAATTAACACCTAGACATTTTTATATATTTAAAAGGTGAGTGGTGGTGTAAAAATTATTCACATTTTCTGGGTTTTTTTTTAATCTAAAACAGAGAAACTGTGGAGTCATAGACAGTTTTTGGCCTTCAACAGAAGCCACGTGTCCCATCAAGAACTTCACGTACTTTTCGGTATTCGAGCTTGGCCCCAACGTCGTTTCCTTTTATTTTTCGCAATAATCTTTTTTCTTTCTTTCTTTCAAATCTATAATTGATGTAGATTTAAAATATCATATTATCATTAATAAACTTGAACCTCGTAAATTAATGTGAAATATTACTTCCGTATGATTATTAAGTTTTCAAATATTTTAATTTTATAATATTCATTTAATCCGTATAATATTCACATACTTGATTAATATGTGTATGTAGATAAACAAGCYATGCATAATTATTTAAGTATAGATAGTGAAATAGATTCATATATTATTAATCGATTATTGAAAATAAATATATTTGTATTTTCAAAAGACGACTATTTTAATTTCCTTATTTTAATTTGTATCTCATTTATTACGGTCAAAATTTTAATATACATTTCACTCAATAAATTTTTAGAAAGGTAACCATAAAATTTGTAATAAATAGTTTCTATTGTGTATAAAATATTGTATCACAATCTTATAATAGAGACCAAAAAGGTCATTTTTAAAAGTATAAAAATCAAAATAAATATTTTAAAAGTACATGAACTAATTAAAGTGTAAATAAGTCGAAAGTATAGACACTACTAAAATAGACATTTTAAAAGTAAAAAAAACCAAATTGAACCAAAACTGAAAGTACATGACCAAAGTAGTATTTAAATATCTATTTTATTTTGATGCTAATTAAATAGCAATAGTTAATGGAAGGTGGTATATAATATAGTTTTAATAAATAGATTGATAATAGACTTTGGGTAACAAAGTAGGGTTTACCTCTTCCAAGTAAATTAATATATAGCACCTACAACTTCAAGGGCCATTCCATTGCCATACTTTCTTCAACCTTTCATATGAAAAAGTGAGATCCAAAAAGAAATGACATTACCATATTTATAGCATGTGAATTTGAGATTCCTCTAGGTTTTGTCTTTGGTACTTTCCTGCCATAACCACCTCTTATTCCACTATATAGATAGATAGCTATTACAATGACCTTTTACTTCAACCAAACACTTAAAAAAAAAAAAAAAAAAAAACCTTGATTGAGAGACGACATTATTGTAAGCATATATTTTTATTTTTCACAAAAAAAAAAAGAGGTACTAAGCTTGTACAAATATTTAGATTAACAAGTTGACATTCTTAAATAAATAAATCTACATAAAAACTCAGTTTTTTAATCTAAAACTTATACAATCCCTACCCATAGGATTGTAAATCATCAATCGGGTACATCTTAAGTTTGGTTATTTTTATTTTATTATTTAAGATTTGAACCCACGACTCATGATCTTCTTTTTTTTTTAAATTCCATCATCTTTCTTACATTTAAACGTTTTTTGCTGTTGGAAAATAATAATCGATTTATAATAAAATAAAAGAAAAGAAAAATGGTATTTTATTTTTTCACTTTCACCCATGTAGGGTAAAAGTGTCAATGTCTTGGCTTTAATAGATTCTTTGTCCCTTTCCTCTCCTCCTTCAACCCTTCACACAGTTCTCTCATGTTTGTTTTTACTTGGAATGCGAAAACTGTACGGACCACAATTTTTTTCAAATTCAAAACCCAATTTCATTCCATTTTCCCCTTCAGAAAGGCCGGCCGGCCACGTAAGCTTCCGGCGGCCACTGCAGAAACAGTGGCACAGAACAATCAACAATGGACTTGAGAGGATGTTGGTTGGTTTATGTTCTCTTTTTTGTTCAGTCTCAAGTGGTGTGTGATAATTTATTGAATGGATTTTGCCCGATTTCTAGGCCATCGTTTGGTTCTCTCAAGTTTGTACCAAATGATAATAAACAATCACTCAATTCAGAAATTCAAATCAATGGATTGAGTAAATTTAATTCACATATATGAATAACCAATTACCATGCTTGTCAAATTTTTTAAAAGGGACGAGGCTCATGGAGACCGTACTTTGAGCGAAGGTTCCTCCTCTTATAATAATGGAGATTAAAAAAAGGTGGAGACTCGGATTCTCAAACTCCAAAAATGATATTTGACTAATATATTTACATAAGAAAATAATAATAACTTAAAAGCAAAAGTTCAAATAGATGGGTAAAATAATTGGCTCCTTTCTTTTTTAGGACCAAATTTTGTCCTCGCCACTTTTGAAAATTTGACAACTCATTATTATTATTATCATTTTCTTCTTAAAGTATCTGTTTTTATATTTCTCTCGTGATACTACATAAATAATCCCGATGAAAAAAATTGAAATAAGATTAATAAAATTAAAAAAATTATAATAGTATATACTTTAGACGAGAAAATAATAAATTTGACTTAAACTTACTTTTTAAGGTATGATTTCTCAAAATTTATTTTTATCTACAAATTTAAAAACACAAGTTTTCCAACTATATTTTTTTCTCCTTCATCTGTTTATTTAAATATAACATTATTTGTGTTGTTTAATATTTCTTTATTCTTTCCTAAACATGGTTTTAAAATTTTATTAATTTTAAAATCTACTTTTCAATCCCGTATATTAGAGTCCCTTTGCTCTTTTCCCCTCCCACGAAAACAACAAAATAAGCATTAAATGATAAGAATAATAACAATTGGCGAGATATTGGGTTAAAAAATGAAGTTAATCATCAGAAAAAGTACAATAATTAAAGTTAGGCTTAACAATATGCATTATTTTTTTTGTTTGGATCTTATCCTTTAATAAATAATATTATTTTCCCTATATTTAGTACATTAAGCATGTGAAGTGAGAATAGGAAAAAACAACCCACCACTGAAGTTAGATCCATTTAAACAAAAATCTGTGCCTAATTATATAATTTAATTCTTAGGTGGAATATGAAGTAGACCAAAATATCCAAATACGCAAAGGGACAAAATATCCAATTACGCAGCTGTCAATTGGGTTTCGTTATTTATATTTTTTGATGTTTGTGTATTAAATTTAGTTTAATTTATTGATCAGGTGTACATAAATTTTTTATTTAGTTTCGAATAAGTAATAAAATGTCATAATTTCGATTTGATTCATAGTTATGATAATTTTAATTTTATAATTATATTTTAAAAAGTTTTAACTTTGTTGTTATTCGTATGATATCAAAAATTATCTCTACTTTCAAAATAGATTATCACATTGAAAATATATGACATGTTTTTTATTAATGTGACAGTGAGTAGTACGTTACTAGATGCATTAGGATTTAATATTGAATAAAAAAAATATAAGAAAATTAATGAGATTTTTGGTGAGTAAAAATTAATTTATGAAAATTTTATTAAACCTATAAGAGTCAACGATTTAAAGATGTTTGAGGTTCGATTTTTTTAATATTTTTTTTAGAAACTAAAAAAAAGGAAATTCTTTCGTAAATTTTATCAAATTGATTTTAACTGTTTTTTATTGATATTTGTGTATTTGAATATTTGTTTATAACTTTTTCCATTTAAGTTTTTTTTTATAATTATGATCAATGGATAAAAAATATTAGTATTGTCTTACATGACCCTCATATTTGCAATGTTTATTAGATGTAATTTTTCAAATTGATTTTAAAAAGTGCTAATTAATTTTATTAAAACTCAAGTATTAATTTGATGAGATTGTAAGTTTAAAGTTAAAATCGAATTAGTAAAGAAAACATAAAATTCCTTAAAAAAAAACATTAAACTCTTGCCAAAATTGCCCTAAAAATTAAAATATATATTAAAAACCAGATCCATTTATCGTAAGAAGATATAATATTGTGATGATTTTCTCTCTTTAATGATGGAATTAAAGTATTAGGCTTTTCTTTTCCTCGTGTGCCTATATATATAATCTCTCTGCTGCAATTTTTATGGCGTCAAGGTACTTCGCCTGCAGAACCGCCATTAGCGACTAAGAGAGAGAAAGCTAGAGAGAGAGAGAAATGGAGCTCGACGAACACGTCTTCATGGAGGAGTTGCTGGCTCTACGAAGAGAAGCAAATTGGGATGCCATTCCAACCGAAATCAGCGATCTCTGCTCAACTGCTTGGAGTTTCGATTACTGTTTCGATCAGAGCACCGCCAATTTCCACCAAAATTCTTCATCGGAGGCTCTGTCCGCTCAGAACCTCGACGAATTCTACCATCCTCTGGCCAGTGAGTTCTCAGTTCCACAAGTGGCCGATTCCGCCTATGCCGCCATGGAAGTAGCCGCGCCTCTGCCGTTCCAAGCAGACCGTCCGAGTGCGGAGCGAGAAGGGGAAGGAGAAGTAGAGGAAGAGGAATTAGGTTTTCTTGCGGATGAGATTCAGAATATGGAGGTTCAAGTTCAATCGGCCTGCAAAATGGAGCCGAATCTATCTCCAGAAATCCCCGTTTTCAACATCGGAACGTGCTCCCTCGAACGGAAGAACAGACCGAAGAAATTGCAGGGGCAGCCATCGAAGAACCTCATGGCCGAGAGAAGGAGAAGGAAGCGCTTGAACGATCGCCTCTCGATGCTCAGATCCATCGTCCCGAAGATCAGCAAGGTATAAATCGAACACCGTATCTCTGAGTCACAATTCTGGAAATGCTGGAAATTAATCTGGAAATCGTCTCGAACAGATGGACAGAACTGCGATTCTGGCGGATGCAATCGAGTACATGAAAGAACTGCTGGAGAAGATCGGGAATCTGCAGAGAGAAGTGGATCGGTCGAATCAGACGAATTCATTCAACGACACAAAACCGAGCGAATTCGTAGTGAGGAATTCACCAAAAGTAATCGAACCTTTTTGTTTTTCCCTGTTTTTCAAACACGCAGTGGATTGATTGATTTTAGTGTGCGCTGTGGATTGATTTTGAGAAATTTGGGCGTACAGTTTGAGGTGGAAAGTGGAAACGGGAGCACGAGGATCGAGATTTGCTGCGCAGCGAAACCAGGATTGCTATTATCAACGGTGAATACGATTGAAGCATTGGGGCTTGAGATTCAACAGTGCGTAATTAGCTGCTTCAATGACTTCGCATTGCAGGCCACTTGTTCTGAGGTTTCCTTCTTTCACTTTCACCTCACTTTCCTCTCTTCTTTTTCCATTCAAATCTTAAAATTAGGGTTTTAAACTACACATTTTAGACTACTCTTGTGGGTTATTCTTGAATTAATTACATCTTGAATAATTGTAAAGCATGGTGGAGATAAAATTTGGAAGCAAAGGACAATTGGAATTTTTTTAAAAAAATTAAAAGCTCTAAAGCAACGGCTCTGAATAAATTATTGAGAGACAAGAAATATGAGGGTACTACTCTTTTCTGCAGGTACCTGTACTTTCTCAACCACTCTGACTCAATAACAGATAAATAAATATACAAATTCATATTGTTTTCAAGTAATTTTCTTTCTTTAAAAAAAAAAAAAGAAAAGTGTGTTGAAATTTTTAAAAGTAAGAGACGGAATGAACTTTTGTAAGTAAACAAAATAAGAAAGGAAGAGTTCAAAATAGTATTTAAATCTTTAATAATCAACTAAATGCAACATTAGCCGAGAATTTTTTATTTTTTTTTCTTTTCGTTAGTTTTGTACTTGGTTTATTGACAGTGAGGAACAGGAGAGAAATAAAAAATAGAAATTTTTTTATCAAAATTTATGAATTGTCAATTTTTTGAGGACAAGAGTTCATCACGGTTAAGGACATGAGTATTTTCCTTATTTTACATCTGAAATTTATTTTTGAAAGTAGAGAATAATTTTTTAAAACTTAATCCCCGGTCAGAAATTTTTGCCTAATGTTTTTTGTTAGTTAAAAGTTAATGATAATGATATTACATTGATTTATTTTAATAATTTTGACTTGAAAATAGGAACTGAAGCAGAAAGCAGAACGGAAGCCTGGAGAATTGAAGGAAGCTTTATTTAGGAATGCAGGCTATGGAGGAAGATGCTTGTAGAAATTAATTTTTTTAATTTTATTTAATGTGGTAATGTTCTTAATTAGTAATCAAATCTCTGTAATTTATTGAGGTTTGCAATTTTCTCATTCCCAACTCCTCTTTCTTAAATTTTAGTTCAAATAGGGGGAATAATTAAGCTTATTAATCTCCTGCATATTTCAAATTTTAGAGCTGACAATTTCCAAGTCAGATTTCAAGGTAATAACATACGAAATAAAATCCATTCTTATCTCTTTAGTTTATCAAATTTCACCTTAAAATTTTTATTTCATCAAATTTAATCCTCAGCTTATGAAATATGAACTTTAAACTTAAATAGGAAGTTAAATTAATAATATTAATAAATTTATTTTTTAATTAACATTTATAGCTAATTTTGGATTTTTTTTTCAAGTAAGACGATAACAGTTTTATAAGTATTGATTCTTCTAATTATATTAAATACTTTTTAATTAGGTTCAGAAATTTTGATGACATTGAGTGGTTGCATTATTTTTTCTGACATGCTTGATTTTTGTCTCAGTTCAGTTTAAAATTAGCATTGTACAAATTATAAGTCCACTTGCAAAAATTAGAGCAATTTTCATTAGTGTTGGAAATAATAAATTTTATTTATTTTCATACTTTCTAAAATGAACTTTGTTTCTTTTTTTTTTCTTTTAGTTCAAGAGTTTTTTTTGCGGTGGTCAAATAAATTAATGTTTAGTTCGTTATACCATTGCATAAAAAAAATTATACCCAATTCTGATCACCTGAGAGTACATGTGAGGTGGATATAGTTGAGTTATTCCGAACGATTTAAGTGAGGAATGATCTGCACAAAGATAACAAACGTTCTTATGTTCGAGTTAGTAATAATGTTTCGGCCTAAACCTCTCACAGCGAGTAATTAGATTGTGTACTTCGTCCCCCAAAGTGATTGACTATTTATAGAAAGTTGGAAGTGGGTCCTGTGACTTCGGTCTATTACATGGTTTCCATAATTAATTAGGTGATTATTACAAATGATTTGCATGAAACAATTTTGTGTAGGCCTAAACACAAGCCACCACTTGAGTTTGAGCTATATAGATGAATTCTGGTCCAGCTTAATAGCTTGGGTATGATTGTTTTTCTTAAGTTAGAGGAAAGATCACGTGAGATGATTTTTTGTAGCGCACCACGTGGTAGGTCGCATTTTGCCTTCCAACAAGTTAAGTCCACGAATAAATTTTTTTTTCAGTACAACATGTATAGATGGGGAATCGAACTCTTAATCTTTTGATTGAAGATATATATAATTTACCGTTGAGTTATGTTCGTTTGGACTATAATAAAAGAAATTTAAATAAATGGTAAGTTTGCAACCTCGTGTTGTATAACTAGGAAAAAGAGAGAAAAGTTTGAGAATTAGGATTTGACATGAATTTCAAGAGGGACTTCTACTTTTTAATGTCGTTACAAAATTTGTCGAATAAAAAAAATAATGGAATCTAATGATTGATATTAAAGTCTAATATAATTTAAACTTAAAATTATAGTTAAATTCTCACGATTTTGGGGCAAAAAGCGGCCAGCTTATATTTAACATTTTATCAAATAACTTCACATCCAACAATATATATCCTAAAAACAATATTTTAAAGATATGGCAAAAATTAGAACATAAATAAATTAGTGATTATAATTAATCAAAAGAGAAAAATTATAATAGTTAATCAATTTTTTTTTTAATACAACAAGTGAGATGGGGAGTGGCGGATTCAGGGTTTGATGTCAGGAGGAACACAAATGCATATAAATATAATGGAAAATTTTGTTGAAACAATATTCTCGTGTGTCAAATGGAAACAAAAAAATTGGTATGAAATAATTGATAGGATTTAGAAAAAAAAAACGATATTAGAGTTCGTTTTTTAACTTAAATTTGTAAGTTTTGGGAGGGTTATTTAATAATAGATTTTGTGTATTATAAATGATAAAGATGGTAAAAAAATAAACTGGAACAACTCTGTCCATCACATGGATCCTAGAACGTTGAGGTTGGGGCACAAACTCTAGTGTAGAGGACAACCACTGCACCAAAAAGTATTTTGGTTTCAATATGATGTGCTATATATTATTTAATTAAAATTCAGTGAGGGCACGTGTCCTCGATCTCCACGTGGATCCACCCCTAGAGGTGGAAGATTCAAATTCATGGCTTCTTGATCAGAAAAAAGTATTAATTATTGTTGAATCAAGTTCATGTTCGCTATTTAATCAATATATAAATGTAGGTAATTTAAAAATATATATACACGTAGAGGTACATCAATGAATACAGTTAATTGCCAAAGCGAGAATAGCTCAGTGGTAATTGACATATATCTTCAATCAAAATTGATTGTGAGTTCGATATATCTTCAACTAAGAGATTGTGAGTTCGATCTCTACCCGCACATATTGTACTAGAAAAAAGAATATATATATATATATATATATGAATTCAGTTCGTTAATGGTACGTCAAATTGTATGTTTAAAACATACTATAATTGCAACTACCTTTGAGAAATGTGTTATTTTTGCAATTACTTTCTTAGAGATACATATATTATATTTTAGAGAATCATATTTTTTATGTGCTTGTTATGAAACGTGTTTTGGTATTGAATTGATGTTGTGGGCTTGGGAAAGCCCATTTCTGAAATGGGCCGATCCACGCCAAAAGCCCAGATTGATCGATTTTACAGCCATCAGAAGGTCCGCTTGCACAAGGCCAAGCCTTCGGTCTTGGATTGATGCCGGTCAACAATACGTAAGCCCAAGCCCAACGGATTTATTTATTTCTAATTGTCATCGTTATTGTTATGGTAAATAAAAGATTTTTTTTCTTAATTTTTTTGACAGGGGTAAATAAAAGTGTCTTTTATGGATTAACTTAAAACTTTTCAATTTCAATGAACGTTCACGACTTCACTTGGTTTATTGTAAATTCAAAAACATATAAATCGTCTAAAATTGTGTAGTTCTTCTCTAAGATATCTCTTCACTTTTTTTCTTTTAGAATCGAAATATTATAGAAAAAGATAAATTTTTGGCTCTACCCTTAAATATAGAGGTGGACATCATAATCAATATACAGAACTCATTCGTTCATCCAAAATTATCACTTGTGGTCTTCAACAAAGTTTTACAATGCCTTAACTAGTTCAAGCATGATAACATATATACCGTTTAGAATATAATAAAGAAAGGAATTACAAAAATGACATAAATTAAATAGTTTTTTATATTTACAGTAACATATTTCAAAATTTACAAAATAATAAGAAATGTAAAAAACAACACAAAAAAAAACTGTAATAATAAGTATGTTTCACCATTACAAACACATTTTGCCGGTTTAAAGAAACACTCTCAAAACTTACCCAAAACCATATATAATCCAAATTCGCTTACAAAATTTAAAATGTTGGTTTGCTACGATCAAAACATTCGTTTTGGTTCGTGTACTTTTTAAGAAGTGACAATTTTAGTCATCATTTACAAAAATTTTAACACAAATTCTAACTGTATAATATAAAGTTGTGGCTACCTGTTCAAAAAATTCATTAAGCGTAGTGTCATATTAAAATTATGATAAAAAAAAGAAAAAGAGATAAAAGTAAAATGAAAGGATCGCGTCAAAAGTATAGGGCCAAATTAAATCCAATTTTTTTCCATCCCTTTTTTGGGATTTGAGAGATAGAAGAAGAAGACTTTATTTTACTAACACCCGTGAAAGGACATAATCATTATGAAGGAAGCACCAAAAAAAACAAAAGAAGAAGAAGGTTTCATTGATTTTTAACCAAAAATGAAAAAAAAAAAAAAGTTTGGTACTTGAAAGAGTTGTTTGAGAAAGAAGAGAGAATAATGATGAGGTGGTGATCTTCTTCTTATTCTTTCTCCTTTGTTTGCAGCTGCAACCATTTTGTTCAGAGATTGTCGTCCATTGATTGCTCCCATTCCCCATTTCTTTCCAATATCCATTAAACAAACAAAAAGTTAGTCAATTCAATTTCATTTCATATACGCCTTCGAATTTATAAATAAATGATTTTATTGTTCTTTCTCAAAAGTTAATTTACTAATTTTATTATTATTATTCTTTCTCAAAAGTTAATTTACTCGAACTATAATGCATTAGCCAATTAAGAAACATCAAAACTCATAGCGCGTGGATACGTGTGAAATTAGCATAATTCAACCCTTGTAAAATCACAAAGAAAAACAACCACAAATAGGGTTTATTTACGTTATATAATTATATAGTTAAAATATTATTTTAGTTTTTTATTCCATTTTTTCAACTTTAGTTTATTTGGATGCATACTCTCTTTTAAAAAACAATTATTTTGATCCATTAATTTTATTTTTATCACAATTTCAACCGGCATCATACTCAATTATTTTATGAAATGTAGCATAATTTTATATTCAACTGTTTCCGTTCTACCAAGAATGTTAGAATTTTACAAAAGAAATAAAATGAATATTTTGAAAATAAATGAATTAAAATCAACCAATTTGGAAAGTGGTGTTGGGATCGGTGGAGCCAAAACGACGTAATTGGAGCTGTTTCAGTCGATTTTCAGATAGTTTTTGTGGCAGTTTCAAGACAGAGACTCGGGGTTTTAGCAGAGGCATTGGGACAGATAAGATAGACATTCGGGATAATTAGATCTTGATTCTTGTGAGTTTTAGAAGTTATTGGGTTTTTGTTGGAAACTATAGAGATAATTTTTGGGAGTTATTTGTCCTTAGCGTTATTAGTTAGTGAATTACCCCTCTGAGTGAAATATGAGGCAGCCGAATTGTGGTTTTCTTGTGTTTCGTTTCTTTCTTATCTACTACTGTGGTGTGTGTTTTGATATTTTTGTGATAGAATAAATTATTTGTTATTAATTTCCCCAACAAGTGGATGGAAGGCGCTAAAGAAAAGTGATCGTCGGTGGCAGGCGCAGAGAATGGAAGATATGGATGTTGTGCAGTGTATTCCGACCGTAATTCCATCTCGTAAGTAACCGCGGCAATGGTACGAAATGCGCTGAACCCGCCTCAGAA